TGTAAACGTCCATGTCTGAGAGCCATATGTGAGGACAGGAAGTATACATTGATTGAAGACTCTCGTTTTTAAGTATTGGGGGTATTTTGAATTCTTTAGAATATAAGACAGTTTTCCGAATGATGCCCAGGCCAATCTTATTCTTCTCTTTATTTCTTCGGTCTGATTTTCTTTATTTCATTTAGTGATTTGGCCTAGATATATATACTCTTTAACTTGTTCTATTTTTGTTTGTGCCACTGTAATTATAAGTTCTTCTGGTTGATTAGTCATGGTTTTTGTTTTACTATAATTCATCTTGAGTCCAATTTTTGTCGATTCTCTATCTAGTTCTTCCATCATTCTTTGTAATTCTTCACTTTTTTCTGTTATTAATACAATATCATCAGCATATCGTAAATGATTCAGATTTTGCCCGTTTATATTAATTCCCAAGTCATCCCAGTGTAGTCGTTTAAAAACATCTTCTAGCGCTTGGTTAAATAACTTGGGCGAGATGGTATCTCCTTGTCTTACTCCTCGGTTTATTTTAATAGGCTCCGTTTGTTTCATTAGCTTAATAGTTGTTGTTGCCTTGTTGTACATATTTGTAATTAAGTCGGTATATCGGTAGTCTATTCTGCTGTTTTGTAGGGAATTCTGTACTGCCCAGTGTTCCACACTATCAAATGCCTTCTCAAAGTCAATAAATGCCGTGTATAGCGGGATATTATATTCGTTAGTTTTTTCGATTAAAATCTTCATCGTTAAAAGGTGGTCACTTGTACTGAAGCTCTTTCTAAATCCGGCTTGTTCTCTTGCCTGGTATCCATCTAATTTAGTTGTTAATCTATTTGTTAATATTTTGGTTAATAGTTTGTACATCACATTTAATAAAGTTATGGGTCTGTAATTCATTAGATCCTTTTTATCTCCTTTCTTAAATAGTAACAGTGTTATTGCTTCGTTCCAACTGTTGGGTATTTGTTTTGTCATCAAAATTTTATTCATAAGTATGTACAAAACTTCTCTAGTTGTTTTCCCACCATGTTTTAGCATTTCTACAGTCACCCCGTCTTTTCCTGGCGATTTATTGTTCTTCATCTCTTTGAGTGCTCTTCTTATCTCGTTCTTACTGATCTCTGGTTGTAAGTCGGAATTAACATTTTTTATTTTTATTTGTAGTTGCTTAAGGATTTCTTGGGTTGGTTTCTGTTTTGTATTGTAGAGGTTTTTATAATATTCTTGTGTTATCTGTATAATTTCTTCTACATTATTGGTCTCTGTAGAAAAAGTCAATTAAGGAAAAAGAAAAAGTGGAAGAACTCCTACATTTCCGTTTTTAGTTTGTACTAATCTAAGTTGTTAGACGTCGCATTAGTAGGTGGATTAGAGAGAACGATCTACAGCTAGTGCCTCAGAAAACTGAGGTGTTAGTTCTTAAAGGAACACAGGAAATATCCTGTCTTCGCTTTATAGTGGAAGGTGTGGAGGTTGCACCGGTTAAATCAATTAAATATATGGGAGTCTGGTTGTCGGAAGGTCTAAAGTTCGGAGTACACATCCAAAAGACAGTAGAGAAGGCGAACCGAAATCTGAAAGCGTTGATACAGTTGATGCCAAACATTGGAGGCCCAGGAAGCACCAAAAGAATGGAGTTTTCCAATCGGTAGGAACCTACGCTGCCCCTGTGTGGTGTAGTGTACTAAACACTGCAAAATACGCTAAGCTGATGGAGACTTCGCAAAGGCGAATGCTTCTCAGGGTGTCTAGTGCATATAGGACAGTCTCGAATGAGGCTCTATATGTCATTGGAGCAGTGATACCGATCGTTTTGTTGTGTAAAGAACGAGTGAGGATGTATGCGAAGAGGATGGATGTAAATATACATGAAAATGAAAGAGAAAGAACGATAGTAAAGTGGCAGAGAGAATGGGCGAATGATAGTGGAAAGACAATGTGGACGAAGGAGCTTATTACCGATCTGAGGCCGTGGTAGGAATGTAAGTTCAAGAAACTAGACTACTTCCTGACGTAGTTTCTGGCCGGACATGGTGATTTTGCCACCTTCATAAATAGAATAGGCAAATCTGCCTCGGCAGACTGTACTGTTTGTGCGGTACCAGATGCATCCACATTTTTAACTGCCAGAGATGGGCAAATGAGGTGGGAGATTTCGAGAGGCGAATGGGTTTCGGGCTGGATGAAAGAAATATTGTAAACATAATGTTGAGAGGAGAAAGAGAATGGGGAGAAGTACACTGTCTGATTTCTGGGGTGATCAAGAAAAAGGAACAGGAGGACAAAGGAGGAAGTTATAAGCCAGGGATCTAAAAATGTATAGTTATTATTGTTTATTAGTTTATGGTCTAACGTCTAAACATTTTCTAATTTGCGGTAATAGATATGGTTATATATAAGTTTTTTTTTTGAACGTAAAATAAAAAATAATCGTTATTCAAACATGTGTCAGTGAAACCATGTTATCGGAATAAAAGGAATCATAACCCAGAAAGTTGTCCTGCAAAGAACTGGGAGTGTTACCATTGCCACAAAAGACCACAGTAATCGTGAATGTAGGAAAAAAAAAAGACTCAGTGAACACAGTGCAATATGATCATAGTGAGTGTGAGGAAAATTTCGTAGAGTTAAGTTTTCTTGGTAGGTATTGTAAAACAAGAGCGTGAGAAACTATGTAAAGTCACGTTAGATATAGAAGGCAAGCTTTTAAATTTTGAACTAGATTACGGAGCATGTAAAAGTGTTCACTTTACAGATTATGAAAAAATTGTCATTTTTAGAAAAGTATCTTGTAAACTAAAAGTTGAAAGTTGTTACTGTGCAGAATGTATAAATCGTAAGAAAAATTAAAGTAATTGATAGGGTTATAGTAGGAAATTTTGCTTATCTTTGGTAGTTATTAATTATTGCATTCATATATTCTTACCTCTACTTGGACGTAACTGGTTAAGTGTTATTTTACCAAATTGGAAAAAAAGTTTTAATATAAATGGCAGCAATATTGAACATTTAGATTCAATAAGTAATGAATATCAAATTAAAAATGGTAGCACTAAAATTCAAGTTTTAGTAGGCATTTAACAAAAATTTTAAGGAAGAAGCCATATCTTCTATTACAGATTCTAAAGTTTTTTTTATTATGACACAATGTTTAGCAATCAAAACACAAATAAAGTTCTTCTCCAGTGACAAGACCACTTTAACCGTTTTTCAGGTCAGCTGGCCAATTCCTTTTGAGTCTCCTATTGGCTTGTTAGAGTAAGGGGTTACTATGTGATTCCAGTGCTTTATGATGCTTCGTAATGTACTGTATTTAGTGATTACATCCTGTACGAACGGGATTCTTAGGTCTTCATGAAGTGTTAGGTTTGACACATACCAAGGTGCATCAGCTATCGTTCGGAGTATTTTTGATTGGCATCTTTGAATTATGGCTGTATTTGACTTGCTCGCACATCCCCAAAGTTGGATTCCATACGTCTAGATAGGTTTTAAGACGGTTTTATATACAAGGATTTAGTTTTCAAGGCTCAGTTTCGATTTCCTGCCTACTAACCAGTTTAGATCTTTCATTCTTAGGTCAATTTGTTTTCGCTTCTTAAGAATATGTTCTTTCCAGGTGAGTTTTGAGTCAATATGTATTCCTAGATATTTAGTGCTATAAAATTGGGGAATTTAGATATTGTTACGTGAAATTGGGGGACATGGATCTCTTCTCAAGGTAAAAGTCACTTGGACTGATTTTGTTTCATTCATTTTAATTCTCCATTTGTAAGACTATTTTCATCGGTTGCAAGGATCACAGCACGCCAATAATGCTGCCCCGTCGAACATCAGATTTTATAGGAAAATTATTGGAATTGCTTTCATTCGCTGTTTTTCGGAATTCCCTCCCACTTATATAAGATTTTAACAGTTTCAGGTACGTGATGGGTAAATATTTCTTGATTTTAAAAATCAGACCTGTGTGCCAAACCTCACAAAGGCTTGACTAACATCTAAAAAAGCAGCTGTGCAGTAGTGTTTGCTTTCCATTGCAGAATTTATGGTCTGTACTATTCTATGAACCTGCTGTATTGTCGAGTGTTTTTTTTTTGAAAGCCAAATTGGTAGTTGGGTATCCATTCCTCCGTATTGGGGTTGATTTTTTGTAACAGTAACCTTTTAAGTATTTTGGATACGACTGGTAGTAGGCTTATTGGCCTATATGATGAAATCTCGTTTGGATTTTTTCCTGCTTTTGGGATTAGTATTATTTTAGCGGTTTTCAAGAATAGTCAGTATTTTATCAAAGATAAATAGTGGTAAGTGGGATAGTCCTATAGTTACTGCACCCAAAATAAATGTACATAAATGGAATTAGAATTTGTGTTGATTTGAAAAAGACGTTAAATACAGCCATAGATGGGAATCACTGTGTATTATTTTTACCTAACGATATATATGCTAGTTTAACAGGTAGTAAATATTTTACAGTCTAAGTCTGGTGTATCAGCAGCTAAAGCGTAGCAGTTTTCCGTTGATAGCTTCCATTTTTGCCAATTAAAATTTTACATTTTAACCCATACAATTTAAAATCATCTATATAGTTTATAAATAAAGTAAATATTATAATTTTATATAGTCTTGTCGTGTCTAATTTACGTTTCTATTTTATTTTTACTTTACGTCGGATATATTGACTGGCAGATACAATGTTAATCTCATGCAGCAAGTTTGACTGATCTACGCTGTTAAATTTTGTTTGCTACATTTGTATAATTAAATAATGAAGCAGGAATTACCAAATAATTAAGTCAATTATTAAAATGCATCGTTTATTTAGTGCTTAATATATAAATACATAAAGATAAAATATTACAAAAGATTAAGTGCTGTAAAATAAGAGGTAAGTGTAAGTATCACATGGCATTTCATAAACCGGTAAGCGTACATAATATCATCAAATGTAATAAAACAGTTTTATATTATACAAGAGTTTTATATATTTACTATTTACAGGCAAATATTGCAGTAAGATGAATTATTAAGACTTTTTTATACGTCATTATTCAAACTAAGTCTTTATTGAATACTGAGATCCTGAGAACACCGTTATTTGCTTTTCACTCGTCTAATAAAATATAAAAACTGTTTCACTGTTTTTTCTAAGATATTAAATTGTCTAGTAATATCCATATTCCGGGAAATTCTTGTAGAACCTGCTATTTTCATGTTGTCCACTCAACCCGTGCTCTCCAAATCCTTTGTTAAGTCCATAAGCCTGTTCATTTTGGGCAAATTTGTTTCCGCCGAATTTTCCATGGTTTCCTTGGGCCTTGTCTTGGAAGTATTCGTTGCCGTAATGGCCTTCTTTAGTAGCTTCGCCTAAGAATAAAAAACAGATGAATATATCTCGATAAGATAAATTGTAAATAATATACATAAGTAAATCTAAACGTTTTTAAAATTGCATATCCTTTGTCGAAATTGTAAACTATACAAATTGAACTGTTACCAACTTCACATCGATATATCTGGCAAATCGATAATGTCAAAGTTGGCCTGATATCACTTCAGTATATTGTTTATAAGCCGTCAAAAGCATTTGCATTTAAGTTTTGTACATACAACAAAAGTTATTGTTTGTCAGCTCAGACACCTCAAAGTTAATAAAATGTTTGTGTATCGTACCATAACTCATCATAATGATACTGGTAGCATTGCCAAACGCTAAGGTGGTGGACGAAAAAAAACGGCAACATAACCTGAAATGGTTCGGAAAGTGAAGGCTCGACTTGAGCGAAATCCACGTCGTAGTGGTAATCAAATGGCCAAAGAACTGAAAATATCCCAGCGAAGCATGCAATGAATATTGATAAAGGAGCTCAAGGTCAAGCCTTACAAGTTCCTAAAAGCACACAATCTTACACCAAATCAAAAAAAAGTTCGGCTTGAAAGAGCAAAGGAATTGTTACGCCTGCACGAACGTGGCGAATTTCCGAACATAGTGTTCTCTGATGAGAAAAATTTTCCTATTGAACAGTTCATAAACTCTCAAAATGATCGTGTTTTCTTGACCGAACGCACCTACGAAAGTTTGAGCTTACGAACGGCCACCCGAAGTAATTTTCCATCTCAAGTAATGGTATGGGCATCTCTAACCGCCGATGAACGCTCTCCAATCATTTTTATTGAATCTGGTGTCAAAGTCAATGCAACTTCTTATCGGGAAAATGTTTTAGAAGCTTCTTTAGAGCCGTGAGCATGCAAACCATGTTAAACCATTAAAAACCCATGTTTCAAACTTCATTTCAGTCACACAATGGCTTTTGAATTAGACAGACGCAAATCCGATGGACTATTCCATCTGGTTCCTTTTGGAGAGCAAGGTGAGGACTAATAAAATATGCCAGTATGGATGGGCTGAAGAAAACAATTATGCGTGAAGGGGCCAAAATACTGGAAGATCGCATTCGTGCAGCATGCAACTCGTTTTTTGATCGTTTGAAGACCATAGTCAAGGCAAAAGGTTAAATTGACTGGATTCTGAAATTTTGTTTATTTTTACACATTTTTGCCATTTGAATAAATAAAAAATAATTTCACACAAAAAAAATATGGTCGTTTGAATAGGTAACAGTTCAAGTACGTAACCCTGTATATTAAGGTAAACAGTTTCATTTAGAGATTTTGTCGGCATGGGAGATCTATATATCCGTCCGTCATTTATTATAAAAGATTTTTTGAGTCTCTGATAGTCAAGAATAACAAACATTCTGAAATCTATAATTTTTAAATCCATAGTAGATTGGAACTACAAACAGTGCCTTAAACAAGTTGCTAAAGAAGAAGTTAGTACTGCTATCAAAACAGTACAATTGTGCCGTAACACAAAAGCATCGTAAAAATGTCTGACAATGGGAAAAAAGAACTTGCTGCAGCCTATTTGCAAAATATTCCAGTCCAAAGATTGTTATCACTAAAGTAAACTTAAATTCTCAGCAAATATTGCTCACTCAGATTTCATCTCAGTAAAATGAACAAAATGCATATATAGCGTAACATTACACTTAAAAATCTCTTGGTCTAAATGATAGATGTGAGGCATCGACAAAAGATTTTTCATCTTACAGTGGAAAAAGACCAAATGACTCCTTTAAAATGTAAAATCTCCAAGATTTTCCAAGTCAGCAATATGTATCTGTACAAAATACAAATTGCAGTTACCAATTTTTTTCATGAGTTGTGTTATTCCCTTGTGACCTATTAAGAACAACTCAGGTGCCTCATTGGTACATGTGATATTGTAAAAATGAATGCTTCTCTTTATGTGTATATTCAATTCCCATACATTTAAATTGTTTGAATAGCTAATTGGGAATAGGGTAGCGGATGGAGATGGTATGGAGATACGATTCCGGTATAAGACAGACCTATTTCAGAGTAATGACCCTAATCACACAAGGTATTATTATTTCCCAATTCTTTCAGGGGGATAAGTTATGTGCCAATCCAAGCTTCCCTTCAAATATCTATAAAGTCTTACACATTATATCCAATCCCCAGGAGTAAACCTAACCAGAAAAAAAAATCATTAGGGAAGGCACCAGGAAATCTGCCCAATTAATTTTACCGAGTATACTCAACACAGAGCTTGTAACGTTACTTGTTTGGATGCTACAAGCTCAATAGCCAAAAAAATATTACTGATCTTGGTCATTGGAAGCCAAGATCCAGCAGAGGAGGACATATACCTCTTAAAAGTCTCTATGTAACAGGAAAACTCAGTAATATTGTAGTAATGTACAATGCATAGCAGGAACGTACTTATCGAAAGTAGACATTCTTAACTGCCCTTTTAAACAGCTTTTTGACATACAGTATATATGCTAAAAGCTTTGAACCTGTTTGGATAGTTCAAACTTTTATTCCAAATCATTTATTTAATTCATATCCGTCAAATTTCTCACAAAAAAAAATTTGAAATCTTTCAAATTTGCACTCAGATTTTAACCTTTCGAAGCTTACCGCTAATGGTTTCGGATGTTCAAAAAATGTATTATAGTATATTTCATTTAGAAAAACCTCAAAAAATTGTAACCAGAACTTTTCTTATAATCAAAAATTATCAGACTGTTTTAGCTAAAATCAATAATCTCCTACGCCTACCTGATTTAAATCTTCCATCATTGAAACCTCCTTTGAAAGCTTCTCCACCTCCTTCACCGAATTTTCCAAATTTACCATTGAAAGCATAATTGCCACCTTCATCATGATCTTGATCATAGAATTCCTCAGTTTTACCCGTTTCGTCTAAGTGATGAGATTTCTTAAAGCCTTTAATGTTGTGTCCTTTGTTGTGATTCGCGTTTAATGTTCTTTCGTTGCCATGTTTTCCTTAAAGATAAAAGTAACGAAAATAACATATTATAAAGCACAATGTACCGAATATTACAAAAGCAAATTAGCTATTTGTTTTAAATACAAAGAAATTAAAGAAATACCTTCAGTATTAAAATGTTCTCCACCATAAAAGTTCTTTCCTTCGTGGTGTCCTCTCTTAAGCCCATCAGAATCTATGAAATGAGCTGAATCTCCCTTAATATCTTTAAGAGCTACTTCTCCAGCGCTATATCCAGCATCTCCGTGATTCAAAGATTCTCCGTTATGTCCATTCAAGTGATTGTAATGTTCTCCTACAACGTTTTGTTTTCCATCACTGTAGATTCCTTTGTCAACTTGGGAAATACCGTAAGGTCCATGGTGGGCAAGTACTCCCGGTCCGTACGGAGCAATATGAGAATAGCCAATTCCTGGACCATAGCTGAATGAAGAGATATTATTTATAAATAGGACATGTATCAATAAAAATAAAATATACCTACCCTAACGTAATACTATTGAGTCTTCTACATTTTTAAAAACATTCTATGTTTGGATTCATAGTAAAATAAGTAAATGTTCACAGAAGTAAATAAACAAATATTAAATCATAACTACAGATTTGATGGACAATACAAAAGATAAAAGCAAATAGAAAGAAGAGAAGAAACAATATGAGATTGTAAGCATTATAAGGACTGGAAGATGATCTATCCAAAATTGGATCAATAAGATTAAAAAGAAAGAAGGTTTACTTTATTTGTACCTTCAACAGAGTACAAAGATGGCAGAACATTGTAAATTGATAATAAAAGTAAGAGAATAAATAATAAAATATTACGGAGAATACGAGAGGGCAAAGTGTAATCAACGTTTAAAAATCAATAAGTAACTTCCAGCAATAAGATTTAACGTTGAAATAAGTTTGTATGATAACTAAAGTAATTTATATAGGGATATAACTTATTTACGAACCCATAACCTATTCCTTTGCTAATTCCAACAGGAGCACCGACGAAGGGTCTGTATCCATAGCCTCCGTATCCCAATTTTCCATATCCTCCAGCCGGGTAGCCCAATCCTCCTGCAGACTCATATTCGAGTCCTATCGGTCCAGGAACTTTACCTTCGTATTCAACAACTTTTGGTACTACTATATCCTGGTATGGGTACTTCTTGTAGCTAAGACCGTATGGATATCCTACGTCGGGGTCGTATTCGTGTGTGCTGTAGCGGCCGTAGCCGTATGGACCTACATCTGTTTCGTAAAATTTGGCTTGTGATTGCAGGATGCAGAGGAATATCACGGTACACTTAGCTATGAACATTTTGGTTGTGAATGATTTAGATTACTCGACAGAGTGTATTTATATTATTAATAAAGACGCGGTTGAATGGATTTTTGGATTGGAAAAATAGGTATACAAGGATATTCTCAAATATAGCGGATACGATGTGAATTTTTTTGTTCCTTTTTATCTTCATTTTTATTTATTAAATTAGTTGCCATTAAGGATTAAGTAAAAGTTATTGTATGTTAGTTTATATTTCTAGAAATTTTTATTAAAAATTCAATATTATTCTTCTTCTTCTTGTGCGGTCTTCTAACATAGGTTGGCGATCACTTCTTTAAACGCTTCTCGATGTTTTACAACGTGAAACATCTGTTCAACACTTAGGTTAGTCCAATCTCTGATATTCCTCAGCCAAGATTTCTTCTTTCTTCCCAAGCCTTTTCTTCCCTCTACTCTACCTTGCATGATGACTTGTAGCAGACAGTATTTATCGTTTCGGAGTATGTGGCCCAGATACAATGTTTTTATTATTTTAATTGTGTTCATAAGCTTTCTGCAATGTCCAACTCGTCTTAACACTTCCTCATTTGAGACTTTTGCAGTCCAAGGAATCTTCAAAATACGCCTATATTGCCACATTTCGAATGCCTCCGATTTTTTTATAGATTGGGCTTTCAGAGTCCAAGCTTCTTCAATATTATAAGAACATAAAAGACAAAAGCAAAGTAAATGACTATGAATTTCGGTAAATAAACGTGGTCGTTCGTCTTCTTTGGCTTTCTTATTTTATGGGTTTGATGTTTTTGTCGTACACAGCAGTGTATTCTCCCAGTCGCCTTCTATGACGCATGTATCTATCATAGCGTTTCCTATGGAAGTTTTCTATCTTATACCAGGTGTTCCTTTAGGTCCCAGTTCAATATTCTTTTTGGCCACCTATGCTTTGACATTATTTGTATATACTCGTACTCCTGCAGCGCTCTGTTTTCCAACTTTTTTGTAATTGAACATTCTACTTCCCTTCTGTTCCATATTTCCTCTGTTTGTATTCTTTCCTCTCTAGTGATTTGTAAAAGCCTTTTTTGTGTTTCTAATTTCTAACCGGATATCTTCTTCATCATCTCCCATTTTAAGATACTCTGTCTTTGACATATTTATATTGAGGCCCCATTTTTCCTATTCTTTCTTTAGTTTTCTAAACATTTAGTTCATGTCTTTCTCATCATTTGTTACGACTACCTGATCTTCGGCGAAAAATAAACTTGTTAGACATTTACCACCGCCTAAGTATATTTTCACTAGGGCTACTTGTTTCCTCCACTAATCTAGCGATGATTGAATATATATTTTAAATAAGGTCGGAGATAGATAACATCCTTCTTTAAACCCCTTTGTTATTGGAAATGACTCAGATATAAAGTTTCCTTCTTTAATTACACTTCTTGCATTTTTATATATATTTGCGAAAGTATCCACATATTCTCTACTGAGACCTACTCTCGTCAAGGTTTGAAACAGTTTTTTCAAAAGTACGGTATCGTATGCCTTCTCTGAATCTACAAACAATGGGTGGGTAGATAGATTCCTTGCCTTCCGTTTTTCGATTACCTGCTGCAGAACGAATATACCATCAGTGCACGATTTTCCTGCACAAAATCCATTTTATTCTTCTGATAACAGTTATTCCCCTATAATTAGAGCATTTGCGTGTATCCCCTTTCTTAAATATTGAGTTGATGTATCCAACATTCCAATCATCAGGGATATTTTGTCCATTTGAGCATTTGTTAAATAGTTGAACCAACATCTCATGTAATATTTTTGGTCCAACTTTACCAACTAAATTGGTATGTCTCCAAGTCCTGCCGCTTTACCGTTTTTCGATCTTTTGAGGGCATCGCTTAACTCTCCGGATGTTATCTCAATTATTTTTGTATGTTCGGATATTTCTTCCATTTCGATCTCTTGGAATTTACATCTATCCTCTGTCAGTAAGACCTCCTAATGGTATTTCCACTGTATCAGATCTATCAACTGTAAGTTAGATTCTTCCTTTCCTTCCCTCCGCAGAGACTTTAGCACCTTCCATGCTTACTCAAATCTTGTTCCACCCATATACCTATTCACCATATACCTTTTATTTTTCACTACTTCTCTTTTTACATCTCGATTAAATTTTTTATATACCTATCTTGTAATCTTCCTCCTTTCTCGTTGACATCCATTTCTGATAAGCAGTTTTCTTCTTGTTTACTAACGTTTGCATATTCTCGTTCGCAAATTTCATTAAATCTTGTTTTAAGCTTTCTAGGTTATATTTAGGGGATGTTACTTCTTGTCCCTTTTCTATATTCTGCACCTGAGTGTTATTGTTTTTGCGATAGTTAATTATCACGTTGGCAATAAGTAAACAATGGTCGGATCCACATTCTGATCCACGATATACCTTTTCGTCAGTTATTTTTAGCTGGGAAGTTGGATTACATAGTTAATTATCGAGCGCAGATTCCTAGTAGGTTGTATCCATGTAAATTTATGGATGTCTCTATGTTGAAAAAATCCATTCATAATTTTGTGGCATTTTCAATTTCGTTGATTCTTTGAAGTATATTGAAGTCCCCTCGTATACGAAATATTAAAATCACCTTATATATTTTTGATAGATCTAAAAATATTTCGTTCGTATTTAAACCCAAATATCTTTTCATTTCTTTCTTAGGTCGGCCAAGTTGAAATAAACCATTTTAGAGTTGTTTATTTTACTTCGGCAATTTCTTTTCAAGTTAATGCGTCGCAAAAGGATATGTACGTCGTTTCGTGGTGTCTTGTTATGTCAGCGTTTGTATGTATGCGTTCAATTTTAATAGAATTTCTTCACTCTCGTTGTAGCAGCTTTCAAGAGTGGTTCAACGTTATGTCCAAATTCACGTCGAATTTGTAAAGTATCCTGTTTTCGTCTTTTGTTATGAAGAAAATGTAGCAGTTTGTTATCTGTTTTGTGGCAGTAAATGCTTCAATTATTAATGTTTTGAGTGAGGATTGGAGGACATCCTCGTTTTGTTTTTCTTTTGTTCCTGCTTTTATCCAAGGCTTTTGGCAGTTTTGGAGATGGAGGTTTTCGTCATGCAGAGAGAGTGGAGCCCTCAGTTCCAGGTTCCAGTTATGGTTTCAGAAAGTTGAGTGTGTCATGTGAATTAAGGTAACATTTTGTTCAAATTTTAAACTAAAGACAGACATTTTTTTTATAAAATAATAATTGCTTTCGTTGACATTTAAAATTATAAATTTTGTTTTGAGTAAAGCTGTCAATTTGTGTTTGGTTTTTTTTAGAATTTATTGTTAATTTATGACAGCTCGTTTTAGTATTTTTGATGTTCATTTGTTTTGTTTTTTTTTTGTTTAAAAAGGTTAACCTCCATGCAATTGTGTAAGTTTTGTAGCAATGGAGTTTGTTCATGGATGACACATGTAAGTTTTTGAATGTATTTATCTGTATTTCTCCATGTAACTGTTTGTGGTGACACATAAATAAATGTTAAATTTTGTTGTCTTAACTTTTTATTTATTTTTTTTGAGCTAACCCTTTTTGAGTTTATTTGAAAAAGATATGTTTTTTATGTTTTGATTTTGTTTTCTAATTATTTCCCTAGTTACAACTAGTGGTTGTAATAGGCATAATTAGGCACCTCAAGTGGCGCCCTATATTAAATTCCTTGAGGTGTTTCTTGTTTATTTTTATTTTGTTTATCCCAAGAGCCCTTTATTTCATTTTTTTGTAGTTGCCCCATTCCAATGCCCTTATCTTTTACTTATCCACGACCCCAGCTCTCCTACGAAACCCTGAGTGCCGTTCGCATCAGTAGCGATTATTTTGCTTGCCCTATCTTCACCCCCAATAGTTTTTTCCCCCAATTTTCTATCTCCCGTATTAATGCCCCCTGTGGTAGGCAAAATATTCTCGTTACAATTTTGAGAGACATTGTTTCACAAAAATCTCTAAGACGCATTTCGTTGGCATTGGTTACTTGTTCCCCATATCTTCCTAATGCTCTATTTTTTCGTCTTTCCCTACTTTGCTGTTTAAATATGTTAAATGAAGCCTATGGAAAAGTAATTAATGTCCAGAATGCTGCTCATGGATTTTCCAAAACTGGTATCTACCCAATAAACCCCAACTTATTCCCCGACTTTATGTTTCAAGCATCTGAAACTACAAATATTGTAGTAGATACTGCTAATAGTAGATACTAGTAACCTGCTGTAAATGTTTATGATAATAATGAAGAACCTGGACCTTCCTCTTCTACCATAGAAGGCACTTCTATTCTTAACTCAACTCTAAATTTAGAGGAGGCAAAAGAAACAACAAACCGAAACCAGTAATCCTTCCAAAAATTAAAAAAGAGCGGTAAAAAGGAATGTTTTTATAGAATGCGAGTGGAAACCGAAAGAGAACCTTTTTCTGCTGATGAAGAAAATGATGATGTTGCTTCCATTTACTGTACAGAATTGTACAAGTTATCTAAAGAAGGTGAGCTATGGCTATGCTGTTGTTCGTGTCAAAAGTGGGCACATGCTGAGTGTGCCGGCCTAGACAAGAAAACAAAAATGTTTGTTGCGAGCTTTGTACCGACTGAAGAATATCAATCGCTATTTGTTAGGTTCTTTAAATAATGTTTGGAAAATGTGTTAAAAATTAATTTTATTTTATATTAGGCGTAATGTTCATCATCATCATCAGTGGCATTACAGCTCGTTATGAGTCAAAGCCTTCTTCAGAAAATCTTCCATTCGCCTCTGTCTCTTTGTTGTCAGCAGCGGGCCCAGGTAGATGAAGGTGACCTTAGGCGTAATGTTACAGACATAAAAAGGAGCCATACCCTTTTTTTGACACTTTACTTATTTTTTATTACCTTATGACACAAGACAGTTGTTACTGAAGACAGGAACTTGCTGTCATTGTTGCCAACACAACATTTTAAAGGTTTACTCCCAAAATTGAGTGTACTATAACACTAATAATGTGTCATTTT